GGGCCCTGCACCACTGAAAGCCAGCCTCACGGCCTCAGATCCTGTGACAAGGACATGTCGGGAGTGCCACTGTGCTCCTAGTCAGAACCATCTCCACGCTGTGGAGAGCAAACGCTAGACGGTGCACCCCCTTCCCAGTCAAACTCTAAGGGACTGAAACTTCTAGAAATAGAGGTTGAATAGCCCTCAGAAGTCAGAGACACCCCTCCCCCCCAAATGCGTGTCAGGGACACATTTGTAACTGGTTTAGTTGAAGCAGGGTGCAAATCAAGCCCATTGTTTCAACTAGCTGACATGTCCCTTTGGTCTTGTGGTTTCTTTAAAGTGTGAAAAATTGCTTTTTAAAGTTTGCCTACTGCAAAATTCAACATGGTCCAGCTGTGTGGACAGCTCTGACCCGAATCCTGTCACCCCTTCGATCAGGCTCAGAACACTGGACAGTGCCCGCCCCCACCCACCCAGGCCAGCTCCCTCGCGGCCCCATGGCCGTCCCCAACCCTGTGCGCCCACGACCACGTGAGTGCGTGAAGACCCAGGCGCCACCCCTCCGCTCCGGCTTCTCGGCCTGCCTGGTGCCTCCGGGGCTGGCGTGTGCCTTCTTGTGCGCGTTCTTGCGCGCCTACGCTTGCGCCGAGGCTGCACGCCTCTTGTCGCCCGGCAGCGCTGCTGTGGGTGGACGGGTCTAAGGGGACTTGCAGTAAAGTCCCGGTTTCTGCGGTCGTGGACAGCTGCTGTGACACGACGCGTTCCCTGGGGGAGGTCCGCGCAGGGGCGGCACCCAGCGAGCCTGTGTCTGAGCCCGGGTCCCATCGGCGGGCACAGCGGCCTCCCTGCGCGGTGAAGGCCGTGGCCTCAGCGTGGCTTTCCGCTGCGTTTGGCTGCTCACCAGCAGCTGCACGCCTATGTTCGTGGGCTGCTTGACTGTCCTTGTCGTGTTGGTGACGTGTCTGGCCACATCTTTTGCCCATATTTAGTTGGGTTGTTGGTTTTCACATCGTTGAGTTTGGGGAGCTCTTTATATATTTTGGATAAAGCCTTGTGTCAAACGTGATTTGCAAATATATGCTCCCTCTTATGGAAAGCGTATCTTTCCATACTTCACAGTGTTTTTCACAGAGCAAAGTTTTACATTTTGATGAAGTCAGTTTATCAAATTTCTTTTCCTATTCTGTTCATCTACGCGCCTTCCCTTTTGTTGACACCACACTGTCGTGATCACGGGGGGGTTCACAGCAAGTCTCCGTGGCGGGTAGCAACAGGTCCCAATGTACCTCGTTCTCCTGTGCCCAGTTATTTTGACTGTTCTGGTTCCTTGACCTTTCCTTATCAACTTTAAAATAAGGTAATTAAGACCTACGAAAAAGGCTTGCCGTAACCTCCATGGACTTGCCTTAAATCTGCAGGCCCGATGCGGAGGCCATGGTGTGCCCTGCGTTTGCTTAGGTCCTGGATCCCAGGCATTAGCTGTCGGGAGCTTCCAGCACGCAGACCCTGCATTTCTTTTGTTAGATTTGGGTATTTATTTTTTCTTTTGGAGCCACTGTAAATGGACATTTAAAAAAATTGACTTCCAGCGGTTCATTGCTAGTATGTACAAATACGACTGCCTCTTATGTATTGGGCTTGTCTGACATGATCTTGCTAAGCTCACAGGTTCTAGGCGCTTGTTTTCACATTTTTCTACGTTCCAGGGGATACTCTCCATGAATGCGCATGCTGTCTGCAAACATGGAGAGCTCTGCTCTTTCCAACCGTCGCCTCTATTTCCTTTTCTTGCCTTATTGCACTGGGCAGGCCACAGCGCCACGCAGGGGCAGTGGTGAGAGGGCATGGCTTTGCCTGTCCCCAGCCGTACAGGCCAGTTGTCCTTCCCTGGCTTCCAGCTCAGTGTCAGCTGGGGGCCTTTGGACGTGCTCTTTGTCAGGTTGAGGACGTTCCCATACATTCCTAATTCACCGAGACTTCTTAATCTCGAATGGATATTGAATTTTGTCAGAAGTTTTTCTAGATCAGTTGAGGAGATTTCATGGTTTTCCTTCGTTGGCCTGTTGTGGTGACTGCTTTTTAAGTGTCGAACCAGCCTTGCACTCCTGGAGAAGCCTCACTGCTCGTGCTGTGGTACGCATCATTCCTTTTACATGTGGCTGCATTCAGTTTGGTCAAAGATTTTAAAGTCTATGTTCATTAAGGGATCCTGGTCTGCATTTTTTTATTTTTGTATGTTTTTTTCTGGTGTTGCTGTCAGAGGAATTGCCAACCTCATAAAAGACTTGAAGTATTCCTTTCTCTTTTGTTTTCTGGAAAATCTTATATAGAATTGGTATTACATCGTCTTTTAGTGTCTGATTAAACTTGCCTGGAGTTTTCTCCTTCAGAAGGCTTTTAACTGTTAATTCAAGTTCTCTAACGCATTCGGCTGTTCAGACAGTCTGCTTGTCCCGGTGAGTCCGGGTGGCTTGTTGCCTGTAGTCCAGGTCCCCAGATCGACGTGCTCCCTGCCCACTCGCTGAGTGAGCTCTGTGCTGATAGCTCTTCTCTTCCTGATGCCGGTCATTTTTTCTTCGCTCCCTGATTTTCTTTGTCTGGCTAGAGGTTTTACCATGTTGTGGATCTTCCCAAAGAACCAGCTGTTGGTTTGGTTTCCTCTGTTGTTTCTCAGACTTCACTTTGGGTTTAATGTGCTCTCCTTTTCCGCGTGTCATGTGGGGTGTCCTTGACACCTTCCTTCTTTTCCAGTGTGAGCTTTTGGCGCTGTGGGGCCTTCTGTCAGCGCTTAGCGGCATGATGTGTCTTTCTGCTTTCTTTCCACTTGAAGTATTCCGGATTTCCGTTGACACCTCCTCTGGCCGGTAGGCCGTTTAGGGGTATGCTGTTTAGTTTCCCAGGTAGTTGGTGTCCCCAGCTGCCTTTCTAGCATTGAGTTCTAGTTAACACCATTTTGGTTAGAGAAGACACTTTATGTGATTTCAGTTCTTTAAACTCATTCGCATTGTTTTATAGCCCAGGCCACGGCCCATCCTGGTGAACCTTAACTCCTTTATCTGTCTCCACTGTCTTTTTTCTTGGCAGTTTGTTGGAGCCTGTGGAATAGGAGCAGCCCCGGTGGGCGGGGGGGCCGGGCTGGGAGCTGGGAGGGGAACCCTGCCACGCAAGGTGCCGCTCCCCACGCTCCCATGGCACTGCAACCTGGAGCTGTCCCTGCCATCAAATCAGGACGTCACAGCCTGGGGAAGGTCTGGCTCCTGGCTCCTTTGGGCTCAATGGCGTGCAGATGGCGTTGGGTTTCAATTTAGAAAGGTGACTGAGTGTCCATGCAGAGAGGTCAATGCTATTGAGAGAAAAGTTTAATGTCACTCACAATGCCCTGGGAACAAGAGGCATGCCATGCTACACCGGGCTGGGGAAGCGCCAGGACCGGGCAGGAGGCAGGAAGAGTGAGGCAGAGGCCCAGGCCAGAGTTTTTATGGGGGTTTCCGTGGAAAGGCTGGCATGGCAGCGTAAACAGCTTAGGACCGGTGGCCTCTTGGGCACAAGGGCTGTCCCTAGTTGTCTGCTGCCTGTTCTGGTGTTTAGGGTAGGGGGATAGTGACTTGGTGCTGAGGACTGGATTAGGAAGTGGTTCAGGTATAGGCTGTGGGTCCAGGGAAGATGAGCAGCTTGGGCCATGGAACAGCGGTGGGTCTCAGGTGGGTCTTGGCTCCATGCCCAGGACAGCGGGGCGGAGAGGTCTCGGCTCTGTGGCTGGACAGCGGCGGGTCTCGGCTCCGTACATGGACTGTGGCGGGTCTCGGCTTCGTGCCTGGACAGTGGCGGGTCTCGGCTCCGTGCATGATTCACAGGTGCTCAGATGCTCCCATAACTTTCCAAGGCCATGCGGTTGATTACGCCCAGGCCCTGTTCCCAGACCAGAGCCCGCCTGCCTCACGCGTGGCTCCCTACTGCCTGGATGTAGACATGTGCGGGGCCTTCCTTCTGGTCCACCGTGTCCTCACGCCCCATTCACAGGCACAGAGACAGCAGAGCATAGTGTCACTTTTATGCCAGTAGATGGCTGTGCCGTGTGGCCTGGCTGTGTCTGGCATCTGTCCTGATGCTTGGGGTTCAGATGCATACTTTGGGGACCTAGCACCAACTCAGCTGGGCATGGAAAGTCTGGATTTCCTGAACAGGACGCCAGCACAGACGCTGGGACTTGGTCTCGACTCTTGAACCTGTGCTGGTGGACAGTGATGTTTTGGATGGTTGTGCAGTCACCCTTGTGCAGCTGTGTCGCTGTCCTGCGAACAGGCCGGCTGACACCTGACGGAAGTGAGCCAGGCCCCTGAGAGTGCATGACCTTGGCCGCGGATGCGGGTCCTCTGTCCTGGCGCCTCACTAGGGCTGTGCCGGGGACCCAGTGTGTGCTGCTGCCCCCAGGAAGACCACTGGCTCAGGGCGGCATGTGTCCACATGGGCTGCAGGAGGAAGGTTCAGGCCTTGTGGACGCGGTGCAGGTGTGTCCCCCACACATCGCCACGAGTTTGTGTGGCTCAGAACAGAGAGTGGAGGTGTAAGGTCAAGGAATGCTCCCTGGCCGGAGGGGAGGGTGGGTGAGTCTGGAGGGTGGGGAGGCTGGTGCTCTCACAGCAGGGGGCGCTGGCACCCTAGCCCGTGGGGGCATCACTGGTCGGCCAGTCCTTCTCCTGCCTGCCTGCCTTTTCCCACGAGAGGGAATCCCGCCCTCTAGGACCATCTGGAGAGGGGCGCCTGGCTGACAGCCTCGGGATGCTGAGGGCTACCCAACATGCAGGGACCATGAGGGTGGCTCCCAGCCTGCCTGGGCCTGGGCAAGGGCTCCTGGGAGATGAGATGGCCAGTCTAGAGGGTTGACCGTGGTGCTGGAGGCTGGGGGCTGAGGGCACGTGGTCCAGTGTGGCCCAGCTGTAGCCAGGGCCTTCCTGGGGCCCGAGGAGGCATAGGAAGGTGCAGTCACTGCTGAACCGAGTCTGTGCCCTTTGCAGGTTGTGCAGCCTGACCTTGAAGAAGCTGGTGGTCTTCAAGGAGCTGGAGAAAGAACCCATCTCCGTAGTGATTGCTGTGAAGATGCAGGTGAGGGTCTCCGTCTGCCACTGTCCTGGGGCCTTGCAGGACGCCCGTGCTGCCTGGAGACGAAAGAGCACAACCACACCAACAGCCAGACCCTTATCTGTGCAGGTGGCTGGGGGCTGAGTGTGTCCAGGGAGGAGGAGGGCCTTTGCTGGGGCAATTGGCTTGGAAGATGGTTCTGATGCTTTGGCAGGGTTGGAAGCCCCCTGGGCGCAGTCCTATCCCCTGTGAGGCAGGCAGCCAGCCCAGCGTTACAGAAGGTGGAGGAAGCGAGTGTGCTGAGCTCACCTGCAGATGGGCCTTCCTAGAGCAGAAGTGTGGACCCTCCCTGTGCCCCACACCTGCGCCCTGCAAATGCGCCTGTCACCCTCCAGCCCTGATCCAGGGCCTCCCCTGCCGGTGCCGTAATGCTCCCCCGGCCTCACAGGCTCCTCTGTCGGGTTTGAACAGGCCACTGTTTCAGGAGGGCCAGGCCCTCAGCACTGCCTTTGCCCAGGCAGCCAAGGAGGCGGGGGCCCTGTCGGCCGTATGGGTTGCCTTGGCCTTTTCAGGGACTCGTGAGTTCCAGGTCCACTGCCCTGGGTGGGAGGTGGCTCTCAGCCCCGGCTGCCCAGACAGTGCACCCTGTGACCCTTTGCATCCGTCCCCCTGCAGATGTGGGGCTGTGAAGGGTCCGTCTTTCCCCACAGTCCACCAGCACCGGCCCACAGCCTTCTCCAAGTGTGGGAATGCCCTTGGTGTGGCCCTCGCAGCTGACCCACAGTAGGTACTGGTGCCTGTCCTCGGAGGACACCCAGGCCCAGGATGCTGGGGCCCGTGTCTGTGGCCCTACGTGGGTGCTCGGGACTGGCCCGTGGGTCACTAGGGCTTCCTGGCCAGACCTGCAGGAGCTGCTCAAGGACCTGGGTCCATGGAGCCTGGCTCGCCTCTGAACTGAAAGCTCGGATCTGAGCGCGAGGAGGAAGGGGCCGGTCCTGTTTTGCAGGCAGTTGCCGCCACCCAGAAACGTTACTTTTAAATAAAGTTCTGAAGAAATGCTTTCCTCGCTGGAGATGCTGTTGTGAGTCCTCAGCATCCCAGCAGGCCGTGCAGAGCTGCGTGCTAGGCCACAGGAAGCTGCCCGCAACTGGACTCGGGGCCTGACCCCCTTCCCCCAGATGCCCATTTTCCAGACCCCACATGACGAAGACTAAGCCTCCAGGGTCAGGGTCCCAGGCCTCCCCGGCTCACCTCCGAGGGCCCCCACTGACTGGCTGCTCGCCCCCCCGCCGCGACGCTCGGCTCTGCCGGCTTCTCCTTGGCCATCCTCCTCTGTCGGGGTCACCTGCTGTCTGCCTGCTCTGTGCCTGCCTCCGAAGGGCTGGGCCATGCCAGCCACCCCACCGTGCACCTCCGCCTGTCCTTGGCCTGCTCCTGTCCTCTCAGCCCTCACCCAGGCTGAGGCCCTTACGTCTGAACTCCCAGAGGAGGCAGTCGCGCTGGCCTTTCTCACTGAGCCGAGCCTGCACTGTGCTGGGTGCCGCCTGGCCTGGGCGTGGCCGGTCAGTTCCGGTCCTCTGAGAAGCAGACACTAAGGAGGGTCAGATGGCCTAGAAATTTGGGGGAAACAGCTGTGAGGGACAAAGAGGAAAGGGCTGGGGCGTGGGGAAAAAGTGGGGGTGGTGGGGAGGCAGGAGGCTGGCAGGCAGGCCCACCTCACACCCCTGCCGCTCCGTCGCTCCGTGGTGGGAGGCGTGTAGCCGGGGCACTGAGGCCTCGGCAGGATGCCATGTGGTCCAGAGGGCAGCAGCCAGCCGCCTCAGCCGGGCTCCGGCAGCAGCGTGTCCCAGCATAGTCTAGTCACACGGCCACACGGGCCAGCCTTACACCTGTGTCCTGGGCCCTCACCCATTTCTCTGAACCCTCATTTTGGCCTCAGGCCTCAGGGGTCACCCCCTCTCCCCAGCCCGCCCTGCCTCGGCCCCCCACTCCCTGCTGCTGTCCCATCTCTGAAGGTGGCTCCTCATGGTGCTGCAGGCGGGGCTGCGGTCTGTTCCCCCCGCTTCCTGCACTAGCCTGAGGTCTCCATGTTGGGACAGCTGTTTGTAAAGCAGGGCTGTGACGGGCACCTTTAACCCGTGCAAATGTATTTCGGTGTCAGGGTGGCGGTTGGGACCCGTGTGCTTTGTACACGTGACTCGCACCCAACTCATCACAACCTCTCCCTGCCAGCCAGCAGGCTCGTTGGCACGCAGCACATTTGTTCCCACGCGTCCGAGGGTTTCTCGGGCCTGTTTGTAGGCCCACTGGTCCCCCTATCCTGCGACACTGCCGCCATGTTTTGATTGGTGACTCTTGTAGGGCGGGCACCCCCATCGTCCTGCATTTTCAGAGCTGCCTGGCATCTCACACACTGCTCTTCCCCGGTGTTGCTGTCAGCCTACACCCACGGCTGTGTTTCTTAGTGGCTGCAATAAGTTTGTAGTGACTGTTCTCAGCCATCTCAGTCCTTAGGCAGATTCCTCGAGGAGGACTCCGTGGCCAAAGGGCGTGGACATCTTTCAAGCTCTTGATAATAAGTCTCTTGAGCTGCCCTCGGGTGTCCCCGCCTTCTCATCCTGAGAGTTTGAATAGAACTGAGGTGACATCTAGCTGGGCTCACGCTTGAATGACACGCTTGCTGTCTTACTCTCCCAGGGCTCCAAACGCATCCTGCGGTCCCATGAGATCGTGCTGCCCCCCAGTGGACAAGTGGAGACCGACCTGGCCCTGACCTTCTCCCTGCAGGTGGGCCTTCGTCAGTGTCACCAGCCCCGCGGTTTACTCTGAAACGTTAGAAAGTGCGCTTGGCTTTCTAACAGGTGGCGTTTTTGCATCCCAGTCGCTTGATAAAGAGAGGGTAGTGAGGCTGGAAACGGCAGTTACAGAGCTTCGGTCTTTTCATGTTGGGCCGAGATGGGGACAGGATGTGGAGACTCAGTGTAGACCGGGACACCCCCCCCAGAATGAAGTAGACAACATCCCCTGGACTCTGTCCAGGGCTCAGATCAGCCCCAAACTGACCCAGAGGACAGCTCGTCTGGCCTTTGTTTCTGTTTTTGTGGTCATTTTAAGATTGGTGTTATTGAGACTCAGAGGACATGCTTTCTCCTTGCCTAACACGTGCTTTAAACGTTCGAACTGCAGTGTCCATTTCAAACCCACAGACCCCCTCTTCCTTCTTGTAAGTGGGTAAGATGGACTGTGGTCCAGTGTATCCAGGAGAGCCCTGCCAGCTCCCACCTCCCCCTTTCCCCCCACTCCCCTGCTACCTGGCTGTGCCGAGGGGGGGCGGTGCATGGGGGGGCACCCTGACCCCAGCTCTGATGCCCACCGCAGCACATCTGGGGTTTGTGTGGATTTTTTCTTTTTGGGGGGGTCAGGTTTATTGGAGTATAATTTACAAAACGTACAATTCATTCTTTTTCAATATATCGTTCCGTGAGTGTTAAGAAACGTGCACATGTGTGTACCAACCATCACAGTCGAGGTGTAGGACCGTCCCATTGCCCCAACTCCAAAATTGGTTTTCACTTGTGAACTTTGAGGAGAACCTGTGAACACCTGCTTCATACACACAGCTCTGCCGCCCTCCAGGCCCCTGACACACCCACACGGGCATCCCGGCCAGCCCCAGGGGGCACAGCCACCTGATGCCCTTGGCACACCGCTTTCAGTGTTGACTGGGCTGCTGAGCCAGTGAGGGTCCTGTGGGCGGGCCTGTGTGACGGCGCCCCCCCCCCCCCCCGCAGTACCCTCACTTCCTGAAGAGAGACGGCAACAGGCTGCAGGTCATGCTGCAGCGGAGGAAGCGGTACAAGAACCGGACCATCCTGGGCTACAAGACGCTGGCGGCGGGTGCCATCAACATGGCCGAGGTGAGGGAGCCTGACACGACCTCCTTCAGCTGGGCTCTGACGGGATGGCTGCCCTTCAGCTGAGGGTAGCTTTGGGCCTGGAGTGATTGTGACCTGTCCAGCAGGACAGGGCTTGCAGATGGCACCAGGGACGCCCGGGGAAGGTGATGCACGTGCTAGGGTGGGCGAGGGGTGACGTGAAGTTGAAGTCCCCTGGTGAGAAAACGGAAAGTATGTCAGAACAAAGCCAACCCCCACCACCTGTCCTGGAGGACCCGGCGGCTCTCACAGGGCTTTGGAAGCAGCAGGCCGGGCCCTGGGGGGCGGCGGGGGGGCAGCAAGAGCCCTGTGTGTCCCTTGTGCTTCGGGGCCTTCACAGTCGTGGGGCTGTGTTCAGGGCGTCAGGGACGCAGAGTTGTGTGGGTGCCCACCTGGTGTGGGGCAGGGCAGGGCCACAGGCAGGTGGCTGGTCTCCATGGTCCTCACAGACATGCAGCCGTGTCCCGTGGGCTGGGCGGTCATATCTGGGAGCTGCTGTTTCCACACAGCTCACTGCTGCTGAGGTCCCAAGGCAGGCAGGCTCCAGACTCTCCTCTCTGAGAGCCTCTAGTCCCTGGAGCTGAGCCTGGCGCTGACCCCCAGCCTGGCCCAGCGTTCTCCCCCTGTCCTCTCACCCCCTGGCTCTGTGTCCATCTCCTGCCTGTGGCAGGCCCCACCCGCATGCCCTGTCGTGGTCCATTCTGGAACGTGCCCTGCCCTCAGGTGATGCAGCGTCCCCCTGATGGTGGCCAGGTGCTGAGCCTCTGCAGCAGCGTCAAGGACGCCTCTGCCAAGGTGGCCGAGATCTGCATCTTCTCCCTGTCCAGCCAGCCCATCGACCATGAGGACAGCGCCATGCAGGCCGGCTCCAAGGCCAAGTCCACGGGTGAGTGCAGCTGCAGGCAGTGCCCACTCCCCTGCCCCTGTGCCACCTGGCCACCTTCCGGTGGGTTGGAGACATCGGAGGTGGTGGTGGTGTGGGGTTCGGGTTTGCCCTGGTGGCCCTGGCCTCACAGCAGAGTTCCTCATGCTGTTGTGGGGACCTGGCTATGGGGGCACCCTCGGCGGCCACAGTAAATGGGGGTTGTGGGATCGATCGCAGTGCCTCCCGAGTCTGGGCACACGTCCTAGCATGGGCTGTCACCACCATCACAGTTGGGGTTACTGTCCTCTGTGAGGTGAGGGGGGACAGGCAGGCGGCCGAGTCACACGTGAGAGCCAGGCTGCAGTGCGTGCTGTGCTGGGCAGAAAGGTTTGTGGGGGCCACCATGGGGGTGCGGTGGTGCACAAGGTGGTGCAGAGTGTGGCCCCCGCCCCCCTGCTGCCTGCTCCCTGTGCATCTGGGCCGTTCTTTGGTTGCGGCCTTGTTGCCAGGACACCGGTGGGAATCTCAAGGTGCTGTGTGCTCACCCCGCAGATAACTATTCTGAGGAGGAGTACGAGAGCTTGTCCTCTGAGCAGGAGGCCAGCGACGATGCGGCACAAGGGCAGGTAGCCTGGGCCGCGCGTGCCGGGACCCCAGAGCCACCCGGCTCCGTCAAGATCCCCAGCGGCTGGGCCCAAGACCCTCCAGAACCGTCACGGGGGTGGGGAGCTAGGAGCCCAGCCCCCGCTTCCTGTCCCGGGGCTCAGAGTGTGTGGGCAGCTGCGCAGAGCCAGCTGGGATGCGCCTCCCTCGGACAGCCCTCGGGCACCGGGCCTCCTGTGCGAGCCGCCTGGGGAGGCCGCCATCCATGCGGAGGGGGGCCCCCGGCGGCAGGCGCCTGTGGGTGGGGTCCCTGGCCTCAGGCGCCGTGTTTGTCGGCAGGACCTGGACGAGGATGACTTTGATGTGGGGAAGCCCAAGAAGCAGCGGAGATTGATAGTAAGAACGACGTCCATGACCAGGGTCGGTGGAAACTGGTTTTACTAACACTAGGGCAGCGCGGGGCGGGGCGGGGCCAGGCCGGGTGGGGGGCGGGGCCAGGCCGGTGGGCTGCGGTGGACACATGCTGTTGGCCTGTCCTGAGGTGCTGTCTCATCCTCTGGAGACCCCACTCGATGGCCTGGGAGTGGGGACTGCGAGGCACTCAGCCATTGTAGTGAGAGCTCCCCTGACAGATGCGAGCCAGGCGTGGCATCCCCATGCAGACCCCAGCTGCTGCCTCAGGCCTGTGGGCAAGCTGGGGTGGCTGCCTTCCTGCCCAGGTCGCCCCATGAGCATAGCTGGGGGCTTTCCTGTCCCCACTTGTGCCCAGAGGTGCCCTGTGTGAGGCCAGTCCCGTTTGTGTTCAGTATCCAGGCCCCCTTGCCAGGGCTGGCGGGTTTCTCCTCCAGGAGGAGAGCCCCAGACAGGCCTCAGCCAGCTCAGCCGGGCTCCCGCTGGGCGCCGGCGCTCCTGGGACAGCTCACAGCTGCTCCCCATGAGGCCATAGCAGTGGGTGGCCAGGACCACCCTGGTGCTGACACCCCGGGCACAAGCCCCGCCCCAGCCCCAGCGCTTCTGCCGGGTGGTGCAGCAGCCGCCGTGGCGGTGGCTGTTGGAGCCTCAGCCTTGGGGCCCGAGTGTTTCGCCCCTGTAGAGAAGCCTGGGCCTGCTTTTGTAGGGTCGCCTGCCTCCCCCGACTGTGGCTGAGATGGCTGCCTGGCTCAGGCCAGGGGCTGGAGCTGACCCTGTGCGGCCCAGGGTGACACTGGGGGTAGAGGCAGCTGGAGATCTCCACTGAGTCCTGCTGGGTTGCATGTGGTGCCTCCGGGAGGGGCTGGTGGCCTGGGAAGGGCGGCAGCCTGCCCGGAGGCTTGTGGAAGAAACTTGGGAGTCAGCACAGGCTCGCTCTCTGGGTCCCTTCGCGGGTCCCCCGGTCCGTTTCTGAGTGTGACCTCAGCCGTGGTTTCGAACGCTTGTGAAAATGCTTGATGTTAAACTTCCGAGGGCGCCGTTCAGCCTGCGCCTCCCTCCTGCGGAGGACGCACTGGGCGTGTCCTGAGGGAAGGTCCCTGGCTGTGGGCTGACTGTCCTGTTGTCTTACAGCAGCAGAACTTCAAGCAGAAAGTCGTGGCGCTACTGCGCAGGTTTAAAGTGTCAGAGGAGGTGAGAGCCGCCTGTGGTCCCCGCGCACCCTTTCCCCCAGCCCGGTGTCTGCCAGGTTTCTGCTAGTCCTGGCCCCGCCCCACGCCCCGCCCCACGCCCCGTCTCTGCATCCCCGGGGCTCCGCCCACAGAGCACTTGTAGTGCCCACCCCCAGGGACACCCCAGGAGACCACCTGCTGTGTTTCTTGAATATCACCTGGATGAACACAGGGGAGAAAGGCTGCACTTCCTCTTGGGGGAGAGGGGTTAGCAGAGGTTTTTGTGTTTTTTTTTTTTAAAACCATTGAATTGTACATTTTATTTTTTTATTTATTTATTTTTTTTTTTTAAGATTTTTATTGGGGAATTGGGGGGATGGGAACAGTGCTGGGGAATTGGGGAAAGGGAACAGACAAGTTGCTGTCGTTTTGTTCTTCAATCTAGTTGTGGAGGATGTTGCTTCACTGGCCCAAGTTGGCACCATCATTGCGCTCTTCTCTGGCGAGGCAGATCAGTCGCCGGCTTCTGGACGGCCGCTCACTGCGGCTGCTGGCCGCTCACGCTGGCTGCTGGCTACACACGGTAGCCCATGGCAATCCACTGCCACAGGGACTGCAGCCCACGCCGTCGCCGGCGACTCAAGGCAGCCCAGCTCCAGGTTGAGCTGTTGTTCAGCATCTTAGCTGTAGAGGGCAGTGTCACTGGCCCTCATATGTGGGATCCGAACCGGGGCCCTCTGGCATCCCAAGCGAGTTCTTAACCATCGCGCCACTCGGCCGGCCCGTGTTTTTTTTTTAATAAATCAACTTTTTACAGCAGTTTTAGGTTCACAGTGACATCCTGTGGAAAGTGTGGACACTCTGTATGTCCCTCGCCCCCACACAGCCTCCCCACCGTTAACACACCATGTGTTTTTGACATTCATTCTTTTAGCTTTTTTCTAGTCTTCTGATTTTCTGATGAGTTTGCATAACTCTTATAACCAGAGAGAAAACACCTTGTTTTTTTTAATGTGATCCAAGGAAAATTAGTCCCCAGGTTCAGGACTCACCCAGGAGAGGTGGTGCCTCTCCTGAGGCCAAGTGTCCAAATGTGGTGACCACACATGGTCATGACAGCAGGCAGTGAGCTGAGCCCCCCGAGCCGGTGGCTGCGCGTCCATACCCACAAAGGCCGTTTTATGGGTAGGGGCAGCGGCTGTGTCAGCATAGGGCTCCCCAAACTCGTCTGCGGACTGAAGGCCATTCCCCACACCCCCCAACTGACTTTCTGCAGAAATTGACCAGCTAGCCCTAAAACTTAGACAGAGTGATAGGGACCCAGGAGAAAGACAGCAACCCAGAGGAGGAGTGCTGGCGGCCTCGTGCTTTCTAACTTCACGACTTAAGCTCCAGTCCACGGTAATTGAGACCGGCTGGTAAGTCAGTGGAGCGGAGTTAAGCGTCCAGAAATAAGTCGTGTTTAAGGGAAATTGATTTCAACAAGAATGCTAAGACTATTCCATAAGGGAAAAGACAAGTTTTTCAGCAAATAGTGATGGAACAGCTGGATAACTGCATGCAAAAGAAGGAAGTCGGCCTGTACCTCGCACCCAGCACAAAACCCAACTCAGTGGATCGAAGACCTAAATGTAAGAACCAAAACTATAAACTCTTACGAGAAAACACAGGGGTAAATCTCCATGACCATGGGTTAGGCAGTGGTTTCTTAGATGTGACACCAAAAGCACAGGCAAGCCAAGGAAAACCAGATAAGTGGGACTAATGAAACAACGGCCCACAAAATAGAACATTTTTGCAAATCATGTATCTCATAACAGACTTGCTTCCAGAATATGTAGAGAAAACGTACAACTCAAAAAGACCACCCAGTTAAAAAAATTAGCTGCCCAATGAACAATTGGGCACAGGATCAGACTAGACGTTTCCTCCAAAGAAGATGCACGAATAGCCAATAAGCCCAGAGAAGACGTGTCGCGTCACTGGTCACTGGGGAAATGCAAGCCGGAACCTCAGTGACTAGCCAGGTGGCTATGATGACGGCAGCGTGGGAGGTGCCGCACTTTTGAAAACAGTCTGGCAGCCCCTCATCCCCCCGGAAAGCTCCGTGCACAGCCGCAGAACACCAAACAGCCCCGTTGCCAGGTGTCTGCCTGCGAGAGGTGGGAGCACGTCAACACGAGGACTGGCAGTCATGGAGGCTTCGCAGGAACAGGGTCCTTTGTGCCGTGGCACAGGCAGGCAGACACAGCAGGACAGCTGTCACAGCCATGGCGCCGAGAGGGAAGCCAGCACAGGCTGCGTGCTGTGTCACTCCATTTGTGTGATGTTCTGGAAGAGGCCAAGCTCAGGGGACAGTCACTTCGGGGTGGCCTGGGGAACAGGAGGGGACTGTAGGGCAAGGGGCCTCCCTGGGAGGGCCGGCTGTCTCCATCCCAGTCTTGTGGGGCCACACAGTGGCACGCGCCTGTCCCAGCCTTGCATTCTAGATGGGCGTCTCCGTGTTGAAGCTCGGCTTCAGCAGTGGGGTCAGTGGGGCTGGGACCAGTGACAGGGTCCCCGGGGGATCACCCCAGTGGAGCTGCTGGGGGAAGGGTGTTCGGTGGCTCTGCCCTCCTCCCGCCTGTCCGCAGGTGTCCCTTCCCCAGCCTTGGGCCGGCCTCACGTATCTGACCTCGCTGTAGGTCCTAGACTCGGAGCAGGACCCTGCAGAGCACGTCCCTGAGGTGGAGGAGGACCTGGACCTGCTGTATGACACTCTGGACATGGACAACCCCAGCGACAGTGGCCCAGACATGGAGGACGATGACAGCGTCCTCAGCACTCCGAAGCCCAAGCTCAGGTGTGTGGGCCAGAGGGGACGCAACTGTGGGAAAGCTGGGGCATGGGCTCTGGGGGGCTGTGGCTCCTCAGGGCACCCCAGTTGTCTGAGGCTGAGAGGTGGCTCAGGACAGGACCCAGTCCGCAGTCCGGGAAGTTCTCTGGGATCTGTTGGGAGCATGAAGTCAGGGGGAACCAGTGGGGAGGTAGATGGGGTCTTGCCTGCAAGTGGCTGTGGTATAGGGGGTGGGCCAGGGGTCGGGGGTCCTCCCGGGGTGCTGGCTGGCTGTGTCAGGGGTCCTCCCGGGGTGCTGGCTGACTGTGCTGGGGGCCAAGGGTCCTTCCGGGGTGCTGGCTGGATGTGCTGGGGGTCAGGGGTCCTCCCGGGGTGCTGGCTGGCTGTGCTGGGGGCCAAGGGTCCTTCCGGGGTGCTGGCTGGCTGTGCTGGGAGTCAGGGGTCCTCCCGGGGTGCTGGCTGGCTGGGTCAGGGGTCACAGGTCCTCCCGCCGTGCTGGCTGTCTGGGTTAGGGGTCAGGGGTCCTCCTGAGGTGCTGGCTGGCTGGGTCAGGGGTCAGAGGTCCTCCCGGGGTGCTGGCTGGCTGTGCTGGGGGCCAGGGGTCCTTCCGGGGTGCTGGTTGGCTGTGCTGGGGGTCAGGGGTCCTCCCGGGGTGCTGGCTGGGCTGGGGGTTGGGGGTCCTCCCGGGGTGCTGGCTGGCTGGGTCGGGGGTCTTCCTGGGGTGCTGGCTGTCTGGGTTAGGGGTCAGGGGTCCTCCTGGGGTGCTGGCTGGCTGGGTCGGGGGTCAGGGGTCCTCCTGGGGTGCTGGCTGGCTGGGTGAGGCCCTGTCACAGGGGGACCAATGAGTGTGCGGCCACAGGCTTCTGTCCAGGAAAGACTGGGTGCTAGCAATTGCAGCACTGTCCCTGTCACAGGCGGGAGGTGGGAACCGCAGTGCTGGTGCCTGTCCCCAAGGTGCACGCTCTGCATGGCTAGTGACAACAGGGATCCCCAGGTAAAGGTTGGGGCAGGAGAAGAGGTGCACAGTGCTGGGGGTGAGGAATGGCCATCTCAGGGCCCTGACCCTGTCTCCACATAGAGTGGTCCCACCCTCACGTCGTCACGTCCCCACATGGCTTTGTCACCAGACACTGCATGAGTGCCAGTCATCATTTTAGCTTGAGCTGTCTTTGTCCTCTAAGTGCCTTTGAGTCTTGAGACTTCTCCATCCTGTACACGTCCCTGTCTCCTGGGACAGGACGTGTGGCCTGCGTGGCCTGGGTTTGTCTGGATCTTGGTGATGGCGCCTTGCTTGCGCTGTCCAGCGTGTTCCTATGCCCCTACAAGCTGGCTGGGGGTCCCCAGGCCCCCACTTGGGTGGCCGCCCAGCAGGACTGTGGGGTGGAGCTCTCACCCTGTGCCGCTGGCCACCCTGTTCAGGGCTAAGGCCCTGGGCGATGGGGTTTCAGGGACACAGGTGTCGCTGCTCTTAGCGGGCGCCAGACGAAAAGGCATCAGGCCTCCCGGTGCTCCCGTGCTGTGGTTCTTGAGGGTGGGGGGCCTTCCGATGCTGCTGCTCCGCCATGGGACAGTGGCTGAGCCTTTGGTGTGGAGAGGGTCCTGGAGGGTGATCCCCTCTGTCCCCATGCCCCCAGGCCGTACTTTGAGGGCCTGTCACACTCCAGCTCGCAGACAGAGATTGGGAGCGTCCACAGTGCCCGAAGCCAGAAGGAGCCTCCGAGTCCGGTGAGCACCCACCCCGGGCGGCCCTGGACCCACACCAGGCCTCAGGCGAGGGGCGGGCCCCCAGTCCTCGCGTCGTAGCCACTGGGTGTCACTCACGCGTTGGTGCTGGACAAACCCAACGTTTACGTGCTCTTGCTTTGCGGTGTGGCCGGGATCTCCCTGCCTGGTGTCAGGTGACTGTTGCGGAGCAACCCTGAGCCCACGGTCCAGGAAACCCCGACCAGTGTCCCGGCCCACCCCCCAGCCCAGAACACCCTGGCTACAGCTGGGCCAGCCTCGGCATGGCTATTGGACACAGCCCGTCTCGTCCACACAGGCCGACGCACCCGAGAAGATGCAGGCCCTTGGCGGCAAGCAGCCGAGCGACAGTGTCCCCGACTCGGTGGCCCACGTAAGCAGGCGCAGGCCGCGGCCACTCGTTCAAGCGCAAACCCACCCACACGCTGCCTTTAGGGACGCGACCCGCAGGTGGGGGCTTGACACACAGGTCGCCCTGCGCGGACCTCCGGTACCTGTGCACAGAGCTACATGAGGGCCCCTGGGGCGCCTGGTGGGCAGCGGGTGTGCCCTGCTTTGCTGTCACGCACGGGCCTTACAACACTGCTTCCTGCTGCCCTCGTGTGTCCTGGGCTGTGGGGCAGGTGTGAGGTGTGGGGAGGTTTGGTGGGTCTCCAGGTGGTGCCAGGGCCAGGAGCCCTGCGGTGGAAGATCAGGTCGGCTTGGCTCCCCAGGGCCGCGTGCGGGCGTGTCCACAGGCAGGGACCCGCAGCCCCCAAGAGGCCTGAACAGCCCCACACAAGTCAGGAGGAGGCCCAGGCAGGGGGTGCGTCCTAGCAGTGTCTCTCCTCCCAGCAGAGCACGCCCGCCCCCGGGGAGCAGCTGGCACAGCCCGAGGACAGCCCGGAGGCGGAGACCCCTGCCCTGGACGTGTTCAGTGAGAAGCTGCCGCCCAGCGGGCGCATCACCAAGACCGAGTCTCTCGTCATCCCGTCCAGCAGGTGACAGGCCACCCGGGGACTGTGGGCCCAGCGGTGCCTGTGGGAGGGACGCCTGTCAGCAGGTGTGGGCGCCTGCCCTGGCCAGGCCTGTCTGATGACGAGAAGTACTCCACATTGGTTCCCCACACCCCGACTTGTCACTAACCGCTGGCCAGTCTTCTAGGCCAAGGTGTGGCTGCCGTCCGAAGGCAGGGAAGGTCCTCGCTGGCCCCATCTCGCATTTCCTGACCTGGCCCCGTCAGCAGGCACCCCCCCCGGCCAGCGCCTGTGTGGGGGCCATCTGCTCTCATAGCGCGTGTGGCCTGCTGAGCCCAGGGCCAGGCCCCAGGAGAGCTGGGCTGCGGCTGCAGCCCGTTCAGGGCACAGGCTCGGGCTCTGTTTGGCTACCCTGGGCCCCCCTCTCCTGGGGCAGTGAGCGTGTGGGCCTGCCCCAGCCTGGCCTGTCCCCACAGGACCGAGGGGAAGTTGGCCGGCCGCCGGGGCCGGAGCACGTCCCTGAAGGAGCGGCAGGCGTCCCGGCCGCAGAACGAGCGGGCCAACAGCCTGGACAGTGAGCGCTGCCCGGACACACGGAGCCAGCTGCAGGTGGGCAGGGCTGCGGCCTCGCGGCTGGGACAGCCCTATAGGGCTTTTAGCCGGTGGACCCTGTCCAGAGCCAAGTTCTGCCCACTCCGGGCAGCCGCTGGGGGGACGGGGAGGGGTGCGGCACCCCTGCCGCCTGTGTGGATGCACCTCTGTCTCCAGATCCCCAGGAAAACTGTGTACGACCAGCTGAACCACATCCTCATCTCGGACGACCAGCTGCCCGAAAACATCATCCTGGTCAACACAGCCGACTGGCAGGGGCAGGTAGGGCTGGCATCCTCCTGGCGGGGCGGGGTGTGGGGGAGACCGAGGCCCACCATGTGCCCTTGCCCTCCAGTTTCTCTCGGACGTCCTGCAGCGGCACACACTGCCCGTGGTGTGCACGTGCTCTGCGGCCGACGTGCAGGCAGCCTTCAGCACCATCGTCTCGCGGATACAGAGATAGTGAGTCCCGCGCCCATGGCGCTGCCACTGGGTATCTGTTGGGGCCCCCACGCCCAGCCTTGCCTGTGGCTCCATCCTCGGGGCTGCAGGTGTATTCCAGTCGTGCCGGCCTGTAGGCTCCCCACGGTACCTAATTCTCCTGGATCTGGGGGCCCCCTGTGGGCATGACTGCTGTTGTGGGGCTGTGAGGGTCGCGAGTGCTACAGCTGCCCCTCCGAGTTGGACAGGCCCCGATTCAGGGAAGCGGGGGCTCATTGCTTGCTTGGAGCTGAGTGGCGAGGACAGTCCCGCCCTGGAGGACAGCACCCTGAGACGCCTGTGCCCTCTGTCCTGCCCGCCCACCACAGCTGCAACTGCAACTCTCAGCCCCCGACGCCTGTGAAGATCGCGGTGGCCGGGGCACAGCACTACCTCAGCGCCGTGCTGCGGCTGTTCGTGGAGCAGCTGTCCCACAAGACCCCCGACTGGCTGGGCTACATGCGCTTCCTCGTCATCCCGCTGGGTGAGGCCTCCGAGCTTGCCTGGACAAAAGCCGGGCGTTCGGTGGGAGGGCCAGGCCGCGGCCCTTGTTCCTGCTCCGTAAGTCGGTGCTAAGTTTGGTTTCTGTTGTCAGAAATGCACCGCAGGTTAGTTATAAATCCTTTAAATGACCAAACCCCGCGTCCTTGAGCTCTGCTCATGTTTTGCTTTACACAATTCACTTTGTTACAAACATCTGTGCCTATCAGTCTACTGGGAAGTGAGCAGTCCTGGAGAGACCACTCCCCATGGCAGGTCCCTGTAGCAGCAAAGAGTGTCTGGTCTCCTTGCTCTGTGGGCACAGGCCGTGGGCAGGGCCAGGCGCAGGCTGTGGGTAGGGCCGGGCGCGGCCGTGGGCAGGGCCACTCGCCTTGACGCTGCCCTGCCTGCAGGCTCCCACCCGGTGGCCAGGTACCTGGGCTCCGTGGATCACCGCTACAACAACTTCTTCCAGGACCTGGCCTGGAGGGACCTGTTCAACAAGCTGGAGGCCCAGAGTGCTGGTGAGGCCCGGGGCGCCCACACTGCCACGCTCCTGCTAGAAGAAGGGTCTGTCTCTTTCAAGACAAGACCCCCCGTGTACCCCCCGCTCTCTCAGGCCATAGCTGTGCATGAGCACCTGGGGTGCCCCCACAAGCCACACAGCTTGTTCAGGGACTGGGCTGGGAAACCCAGGGCGGGGCCTTGTGGGAGGGCTCTTCAGGATCTGGGGACGCCTTGCTGCCCTTGCCAGGGAGCCCGTGAAGGTAGAGGTCAGAGGGTCCCTCAGCCTCCCTGGCGTGGCCACCGCTGCTGGACCCTGCCGGGCAGCCTCAGGGAAGTAGATGTGGACTGGGGCCCAGCTCCGCACCTCACGCCGCTGGGCCTCTCGTGCAGTGCAGGACACGCCGGACATCGTGTCCAGAATCACGCAGTACATCGCAGGGGCCAACTGCGCCCACCAGCTGCCCATCGCGGAGGCCATGCTGACCTACAAGCAGAAGAGGTACCTGGCTGGGTCCTGGCCCGGGCTGGGTGCAGGGGCTGCAAGAGGGCGCCCAGCCCATGCTGCAGACGCGGGCCGCCTGTGGCCACCGTCCCTCTGCAGGCCTCCCTCCCACTGCTGACCTCAACCCAGCTGGCCTGAGTCCCAGCTGCTTGGGTGGCACGTTAGGGGCTCCGAGTGATGGCCGTCAGGGACAAACCCAGTGGGCTGGGGGGTGGAACCGGAGCTGGGCTGGGGGCTAAGGCTGTGTCCTGGTCCTTGACAACAGGACCCCTCACTGACCGCAAATGGAAGTCAGAATGATCTGGTCATGTTTTCTCTCCATCTCTGTGTATGTTGCAATTCCCGTAGCAAAAGTTAAAAGAGAAAAGAGCAGCTGTCATGTGCCCAGCCCCTAGCAGGGACCTGCTCACTCAAATCCGGGCACACACCCTGACAGCCAGGGCTTCCCAGGCCAGGGAACACATTCCCACCCAGCTGCCCGGCCCGGGTGATGTGGAGCTGGGTACATAGGCCAGGGCCTCATACATGGCAGGTCCCCTGGGGAGGCCTAGGCGGACCAAGGGCCCATCCCAGGGAGGTAAGCTAGATGGGCAGGCTCTGCAGCCAATCACACAAGGCAAAGCGTCCCTGCTTCTAGGGTTACATCTTCCCTACAGCGGAAAACAAGTTAAGTCAAGTGTCATGAAGGGGCCATGGCCTGTGCGGCCCCAGCTGCCACTCTCCCTGGCCCGAGGGGGACCTGTCGCCTATGCCGGGGCTTCCGTGTGCAATAACGTGTCTGTTTTCTCTTTCGGTGGCTTTCTGAAAAGGAAAAAGAACTTTCATTTTGACTTTACCCTCAGGTACCAGTCTCTCTGGGTCCGCGCCCCCCCTCTGTCCCCAGGCTGGTCTTTAGGGCTGTTTAGCAGTGTCAGCAGGTGGGGGTGCATCCCAAAGGGCCACCATGCCAGATTCTCTCCCCCACTGCCCACTTCCTCCCGGGCTGCACCAGCTGGGGCCTGTCCCTTCCTCAGCACCCCAGTGGGTTTATGGATCAGAAAACCCTGCAGCCAGCGGGCCGTCCTATTGAAGTCCTGAGATTTGGTTTACGAAGTTCAGCCCCGCAGTGAATAAACGTGTTTCGTTTCTGAAGTCACATGTGGCACTGCCTCTTAGGTTAGAAGCAGGTGCCTAGGATCACAGCTCAAGCCGCTGACCACTGACACTGGCCGTATGCAGACTTTGTTCCCAGCACGAGCCTGGCTCCTGTGCTGATGACCCGAGGAGGGACGGCATTAATGCTGATTCCAAACTTGGGAGCCGAGGCAAGCGGGAACGGGGACTTGCCCTGGGCGACACAGCGGGCAGTGCCCTACACAGAGGGTTTTCTCAGGGAAGTTGTGTGGCTTACCGGGACAGGTGGCCAGACCACTGAGACCCCCACATGCGGGTCAAGGGCTTTTCAGCCCAAGCTGGCTGCACCCTTTGAAAACCGTGAAAGCATGTCTGTTGAGAGCCGAACCCCAGGCCCTCACAGAGCTGCCTTTCACACGGCCCGTCTTGGCCCTCTCTTGGGCACCCTCCGCCCTGGGTCTTGGGTTATTTGCTCTTCTGGGAAACCCGCGCCCCCTCACCCCCCCCAGCACAGGGTCATGGGTCCCAGGTGGCCTCCCTGCTGGGCCCTGGGACAGACTAGGGGGAGGGTCTGAGCCCCTACAACCGCCCTGCTAAACAGGCCTTAGTGGGCTCGAAAAAGACCAGCCACCATGTGCCCCGCTGCCCCTCGCTCGAGCCGCCCGGGCTTGTGGCGCAAGGAGCCTGCAGCATGACTCGTGGCCCGGGCCCAGCTACTCATCTCCCACGGTTGGCTCATCTGAGCAGCAAGCCCGGGTTTCGGGGGACCCTGACTGTCCTGCCATGCCCCCCACCCCACCTTCGCGTTACAGTGGTGACACCGGCACCGGGGATGGGGGTGGGCTGTGAATGCCCTGGGTGTAGCCCCGCAAAGGCCCCGTATGTCGGCCATCCTTGGAGTCCAGGTCCAGGAGGTCATCAGGTCAGCCTTAGGACCCTTCTGTCTACCCAGGAGAGGGTGTGGGCAGCCCTCCAGGCTCCAGCCTGGGCACCCTGAGAGCGTCTGCAGGGAGGGTCCCATCTAATAGCGCCCAGTTCCCCGCCTGAGGTCACACCCACCTGCCGTGTGCAGCCCAGCGGCTATGGGGGCAGTGGGGGCACTCGGTGCCCTGTCCTAGTCTGGCTGCTACCCCCTGGGCCCTGATGTGAAGGTGACGCTCACATGATGGGTCTCATGGGCAAGACCCAGAGCCAGGGGTGTGGCCACCCCCACCAAGGATGCCTGTGTCCCCCTCTGTATGCAGGGTTCAGGTTGAGGGGTCTCAGTGGCAAGCTGGTGTCACCCCTGTCACGCCGGGCGTGTGTCTAGTGCTGGCTGTTGTCTGCATGGCCCAGAGGCACAGCTTGGCTTTGCGAGTTCCAGTGGCAACCCTGTGGCACGTGCTTCCCTGAGTCTCGGCCCCTCAAGGCCATCACCTGCCTCCCTCGTGCTGCTCATGGGAGGGTCGTGGGGACAGTGGCTCGCAAGTGGCCTGTGGGCTGGAGCTTCCCGTGCACTGGGCCCAGGAGTCCACGGGACGGCCTGCCTCCTGCCACCTTGCATGCAGAAGCCGGACTGGGCACTGCACTCGATGGCTTTCCTGTTTGAAACGGGGAAAGGGGGTGTTTTCTCCTTTGCCTGCATTCCCCTTGGAGAGGACAGAAAGGCTGGGAGTTTGGTTGTTTTCAGTGAGACAGATTGAATCTGCAGGCTCTTCCATCTAAACATATTTTCTGGGTGTTGTATGGAGGCGGCACGGGCTGTGTTCAGGCCGAGACTGTGGGTCCCCTTGTCCAGGAGGCACCTAGGGGAAGGCGGGTCCTGTGGCTGCTGTCTCCTCACGCAGGTGCTGGGGCTCAGGGCACCACCTCCTGCCAGGACCAGCCTTGAGCAGCCACACATGTCTGTGCTGGCCCCTGGGCACACTTTGTAGGAAGCGCCAGCCAGGCTCCAGGGGGCTGGTGCTCAGGGGGCGCCCCTCTCCCCACTGCGGAGCTGCTCACTGCAGAGGTTTCTCCCGAATGACCCTATACCTGGTGACACCCCTCAGGCCAGCGCTGGCAGAGGTACCTGCACAAGAGTCCCTCAGGCTCCACAGTGTGGAGAACAACACAGAGGTGGCTCTGGGAGAGTGGCCCAGATGGCTAGACCTTGGCAGGCGGACACCGCCAGCCAAGGAAGCGGCCGAGGAGGCACAGCCCTTCTTGGAGGCTGCAGGAGGGACAGAAGGCCCAGACGGGCCCTGCCCTGTGGACCGTCCCAAAGGCCGGGAAGGACACACTCGTTCAGCCTGAGTCCTGCGGGAGGGCCCCTTGGTCCACAGCCCAGGCTGGGGTGGAGATCGGCCAGCAGGCAGCCTGCTGCAGGGACGGGCCACGGGACTGTCTACCGCCCTGACCCCCCACCAAGGTCTTCCCCACGCCTCTGTGCTGACCATGGTTTCAGGGAAGTCACTCTTGTGCTGGCCACTGTAGAGAACCAGCTGCAGACAGCCTGCCCCTCCTGCCACGTGCCAGTGGCTCAGGATGGCAGCACGGCAAGAGTGGGGCCCTCGCCTACGAGCTGCCCTTGGGCGTCATTGTGTTACGGCGTGCTGTGTGCACCTCGTTAACGAGGCCTGGGGCCTGGGGGACAGCCCCCTGCTCGGCCTCACCTCTGGTTGGCACCACCTTTACCCAGACTGTCTGGGTGAAACCTCTGCACCCTGGCTTTGGGATGGTCACCCCCATCGTGGAGGAGGCCCAGACTGTTCTGAGGGTCCGAGGGCACAGGTAGCAAGCCCCTCTCTCAGGGCTGGGCAGGCTGCCGTGCATCCGGACAGGTCTCCCGGGAGGGAGGGCAGCTTCCTCCTTGGGGCTGTGCTCCCCCTTCCTCTTGGGCGCAGACAGCCGTGCTTCCCTTCCGGACATGTGGGAAGGGCCTGGGGCCGGAGGTGCAGGCCAGGCACGGCGTCCACGCGGGTAGGCGGGCGTGTACTGAGAGCGCTAACCCTGTTTTTGCTCACAGCCCTGATGAGGAGTCTTCACAGAAGTTCATTCCCTTCGTGGGGGTGAGTAGCCTCGCAGGAGACTGTTAACCTGCCAAAATGTCAAGTTTTGTCAGCCTGTTGTTGCATTAAGTTGATATATTCCAGAACCTTCTTCACCAGTTGGAGCTGAGGACTTGCTTTAACCTCTCCCCCCCGCCCCAATCTTAAAGCCCGTCATCTTTCTCCGTGTTGAGTGGGGGTAGGGCCCACGGTGGTAGGGCTTCAAGACAGGTCCCACCCGTGTGGGGGAAGAGGGTGCCTCCGTCCTGTAGGAGCCAAAGGACAGGGAGGGCTGGCCCTGTGCCACTTGCTCACCTGGAGTGTGACCTGCAAACCAGGAGGCTCAGTGCCAGCCGCCTGCTGTCCTCTCCTCTCCCAAGTTTTCACAGCCTAATACCTACTGGTGGCCTCCAGTCAAGGTGTCTGCTGTGACAGCCATAGGTAGCCTGGCCAATGGGCCACAAGGCAGAGCAGGGCCTCTGCTCACCCTTGTCAGGCGTCCTGGGAGGAAATTAGTCTAGAACAGCCTATCCCATGGAATCTTTGTAGTGACAGGATGGCCCTGCACTATTGAATTCAACAACCACAAGTCTTCTCTGGACGCTTGAAATGCCATCATGTGACTGAAGCCTGACTTGTCACTGTAATTCACTACCTGACGTCGCTCCCACAGCGGCCCACACGGGGGTTTGGAGCAGCACCAGCCTGAGCCGGGCGCCTGGTGCCGGCCGCGGGCCTCTGCCTGAGCTGGGAAGGGCTCCCTCAGTACCCTGACCTCACCCACATTGGCCTGGCCACTCACACAGGCTCACGGTTTGTTTGCCGAGGGTCAGCCACGGAGGAGGGCACCTCTCCTGCCGGAGGCCACTTGCATCCTGAGCACGGGCCACAGTGCGGGGCCAGCCCCAGGGGCCACGGGCAGCTCTGGACCCTCCCAGAATGCAGGCTGGCTAGGAGCTCGGGAGGCTCCCATGTGCCCCCTGGGCGCGAGGGTCCCTTACCTGGGCAGTGGGGCCCTGAGTATGGCTCTGCCCATGGACAGGAGGGGCTGGGACCTGGCTCTGCCCCAGGAGCCCGTGGTGGGGCGGCAGCCAGTTGGCCCAGGAAGCCAGGGCCCTGCTGGGTCTGGAGCCTGGTATGAGTGGCGGTGGGGCTGGCCGCCACCCCATGCTGCTGCCAGCCAGCACCTGTTGCTTTCTAGGTGGTGAAAGTTGGAATAGTGGAACCATCCTCGGCCACGTCAGGTAACCCCGTCCTCCCTACCCTCAGGGCCGGGACACAGGGTGGCGAGGGAGGCTCGTCCATGCCCAATGGGCACTTCTACTCACCGAGGGGGGATCCCCGACAGCCTGGGAGGCCTGGCAGCTCCCCCAGTGAGCAGTCCCCATGCCCCCATGCCCTCCCCAGCCCAGGGGGCTGCTGGGGCAGAGCAGCGGGGAAACTCAGCGCCCCCCGGGCTCCCCAAAGGTGACTCGGACGATGCAGCGCCCTCGGGCTCCAGCGTGCTCTCGTCCACCCCGCCGTCCACGTCTCCTGCCGCCAAGGAGGCCTCGCCCACCCCGCCCTCCTCCCCGTCGGTGAGCGGGGGCCTGTCCTCCCCCAGGTAACACAGCTGTGTGGCGGCTCCTCTTTGCTCGTCCAGTGCCCACCCGCTCCCTGCACGTGCTGTCCTGATTCCTGTCCCCCAACCCACAGCGGGCTCAGGTCAGGGAATGCTGGCGATGGCTCCTGGTCACTGGCCACCCCCTGAGGAGCCAGGAAGCTGCGTGTCTGGCGGGAGGGTGGGCTCAGAGCGGTCTCGGGGAGGCAGGGTATTGACGACTGCTGAGAGGACATGGGCTGTCTCGGACAAGGATGCCCCGTCATGGCTGGGGGCGCGCAGGGCCCAGGCTCGCTCAGGAGACTGGGGACAGCATTGTTAGGGACAGAAGCCACGCAGGGTAAGTAAACGGGGTGCTCTGTACTCAGACGGGGTTTCTGGGAACTACGATGGGAGCAGAAGGTGTTGGAGATGGTAGGCAGGTAGTCAGTAGCCCCTCTCACGTCTCGTGAACAGAAGTCACCCAGACTGAACTGCGGGGTCTGGGGGAGTCCTCACACTTGTGAGGGTCATGGGATCACAGGGTGGTGGGCCCAGACAGCCCAGCATTGCAACCATGCAAAGGCCATAGGCACAGACTGGGCTACCAGGGACAGCCCTACAGTGGGCTGTGGGTCCACTGAGCAGCATGGGCAGCAGCTGGCACCTTATTGCCCGCACCAGCCCCAGGGGTGCCACTGTCACCATCGAAGGACGGACGGTGAGCCTCCCTCTGCTTCCCCAGCCAGGGTGTCGGCGCCGAGCTGATGGGGCTTCAGGTGGATTACTGGACGGCGGCCCAGCCCGCAGACAGGAAGAGAGATACAGAGAAGAAGGACCTGCCTGCCGCCAAAAACACGCTCAAGTGCACCTTCCGGTCTCTCCAGGTCAGCAGGCTGCCCGGCAGTGGCGAGGCCGCGGCCACTCCCACCATGTCCATGACCGTGGTCACCAAGGAGAAGAACAAGAAGGGTGAGGTGGCGGGGGGTCTGGGCCCCTTCTGACCAGAGCCCTGGGCAGATGCCACCTGGGCGGGAGGACAGGCAGGCACCGTGGTCACGGCAAGAAGTGGGTATGCAGTGGGCCGGGGTCCGAGGACCGCCCTGGGCCCTGCAGGCGCCACAGAAGGACAGCACGGCCCCTTCCCTCCTAGTGATGTTTCTGCCCAAGAAAACCAAGGACAAGGATGCAGAGTCCAAGAGCCAGTGCATCCAGGGCATCAGCCGCCTCATCTGCACGGCCAAGCACCAGCAGACCATGCTGCGGGGTGAGCAGCCCGGCGCCCCCTCGGCGGGGCCCTGAGCCAGGGGCCTGGCGCTCTGTCTAAAGCAGGGAGCACGGCAGCCCCATCGGGCAGCTTCCTGACGGATCGCAGGAAGTGCCTGTTCCCTATGGAGTGGGCGTCACACGAGCCGCGCTCGGAACACGTGTCTTTAAGGCGCTTGTGTGCATGTGACAGCTTTTCAAGTTCCGAGCAATAATTTTTCAATCCTGTCTGCTCTTCTTGAAGCCTGACTGTCTCAGGCCTTTTACGGAAGACACTTCACACTGACTCAAATGGGGCTCGAGGGGGCTCACGCTTTTCTCTTCTCGCCAGCTCGAGTCTGATGGCCTCGGGGTTTGAGAACCACCTGCCTCCCTGACTTGACTCTGTGGTTTAAGTGGAGGGTGTCTGCCACCTGGTTTGCAGATGCTGGCTGGGCAGAGAGGGTGTGGGCCAGCAGCTCGCCACAGTCAGGGAGAGGTGGCCTCAGCGGGTGGCTCAGAGTGGGAGGAGGGCAGATGGCAGGAGGACAGGCCAGCAGGTCCTTCTCCCTCTGGGCCGGCCGGTGGGAGCAGGTGTGTGTTGCCCGGCAGTCTGGCCGTCCCGGGGCTGTCAGGCCCTGCAGTCTGTGTGGGGCCGGGCCCAGGGGGCAGGCCGTTCAGGCGGCTTTATCTCCGCAGTCCTCATCGACGGCGTAGAGTGGAACGACGTCAAGTTCTTCCAGCTGGCGGCCCAGTGGTCCTCCCACGTCAAGCACTTCCCCATCTGCATCTTCGGACACTCCAAGTCCACCTTCTAGCCCGCCCGCCGTCTGGCAGCGCTGCGATGGCCGAGCGTCGGGAGGCCCAGCTGCGTTCCTGTTGACATTTCAGTTTACTACATGAGACAGATCCTTAAAACAAACAAAAACCGTCTTAAGTCCGAATGTGCTCACAACCCGGAAACTAATGCACGGTCCCTGCTGGGAACCCCTAACTGCTCTGCTTCTTAACCAGGATGCTCTGGGGGGCAGGGCGGGGACAGGCAGGGAGTGTCCAGCTTGAGAACCCTAGAAAGTGTTTGGCCTCAGAACCCTCCCCCAGCCTCCCAGCAAGAAAGGTTCTCGTCTTTGTTTCCTTCCTTCCTGAAAGCCAGGACTCCGTTCCTCAGGGAGCCGGGCCCCGGCAGGCAGCCTGCGTGCCCAGGCACAGAGCCAGGCGGCCAGAGGCCCCATCCTGAGTGGAACATGGAGACCGGTCAGCCCAGTCCTGGGCGCCAGCCGCCGACCAGCCAGCTGAGTGGCCCCAGCACCACCCACTCCTGGTCCCCAATAAACTCCAGCCTCAGGCAGCGGAGGTCTTACAGTAGCAGATATTTTTAATGCTTCTAAATACATGTTACAATGTAGCTGCCAAACAGACGTTGCTCTTCTGAAGTCCTAGCGCCTGGGGCTGGGCAGAGCCAGCCAGCACTGTCCCCTCCCAGCCCACACCCACCTCCCTTGACACACTCCCCCAGGCTGTTCTTGAGACACCCCTGTGCCCCAAACTTAGCAAGCACAGTGATCTGGCCCCGCCTGCTGGCTGTCGGGGGTGTGTGTCACCTGCGGCACTGATATGGCCAGTGAAAGCTCAGGCAGGGCAGCCAGGCACTGTTGGGGCATGGGCACAGGGACTGGCTGGCCTCTCTAGGACAAGCTCCTCAGAGTGAGGACTGGGTCCCATTCTGGATGGTGGCCCCCCCTTTTGCCTTCCTGTGCAGCAGGAGGGACATCTGACCTCCCAGCAGCCAGGGGCCTCCCAGTCCTGCTGCCTCCCCAAAACCCCACACCCCAGGTCTCCAGAAGAAGAGCCTACCAGCCTCCGTCCCGTATGACCGTGGGACCCCGGCTGCTCTGCAGGGGGCTGTGGGCCTGGTTTCCCGAGGCTGAGAGCCACGCGGCTGTGCTTGGGAAACAGTGCCAAATGCAGGATGGACAGCAGGCCGCCCCATTCTTCAGAGGACAGGCCTCAGCAACAGCCTGTGGCAGAGGGGTCCCGTCCTCGGGGGGTAGGGGAGGCCCATCTTTCTCACCTGTGACCTACCTGCTTACCTCCTCCCCCAGGTGGCTATACAGGGTCAGTGTCCATGGCCAAGGGCCTTGGGTCTAGTTGATGGACGGGACTTGGGCATGACCTTGAGTGCATCCCACACCTCGGGGTGCCTGTGCGCAGAATGCTGGACAGAGGGCCCTTCCCATGAGAGCCCCTCGCTGAAATACACCACCTCCAACGATGCCTGGACCAGATGCCCGAGACTCAACTCTGGCTAGGGGCTCTGCCCTCCCTGGGAAAACGTGGGGTGAGACAGCCGCCCCTCGGGCAGCCTGTGAGGCATCCGCCTGCAGCTACCGGGAAGTGAGCGAGCCTCGAGGTCTTGAGCCTCCCGCTGTCGTTCCCACCACCGGCCTTGGCGCCTTGGTCACTGCTCCTCAAGTTAACTTTCCAAAGGTCACTCAACAGGACAGGTGCAGGTGAAACACCCTTGACTTAGCTTTCTAGCGTCAGAGCTGATTTTAGAGGAAGGGGCTTGTGGGGGCTGCCCCCGTCCCATCCTGGCTGTGGGCGGCCCCTTTCCTGGAGCCTCCCCCCTCCCCCATGCGCGTCCCCGTCCACTTCCGTAGCTGTGTCCCTATACATGCGGGGAGGACACCCTGTGCCCCAGCCCTGCAGAGCCCGCTTGTGCGGCCCTGGGCCTGAGTGCCCCAGAGCCCACCCTCCACACCACCCCTGGGCCCGGGAGGTCATGTAGACACCCCGGCCACTGTGACCCACTCAGAGACTTGGGCTGCATTCACCTGTGCCTCAGTTTCCCTGTTGGCTTAACGGACATATGTCACATATCCCCTGCCTACCTCATGGAGCTGTTCTGAGGATACACGTAAAAGCACCTTGTCTCTTGAAGGAAGGGGACACAGAAGCCAAAGCCATCGGTGACAGCCAGTGCAGCCATGAGCACGGGGGAGGGCAGTGTGGGTGTAAAGAGTGCAGACCCTGGACACTTACCCCACAGGGCAAGAGCAGCCCCTCAGAACAGGGGTTCCCAGCACACTGGGTGACCAAAGGCAACTGGAACTCAGAAGTTAAGCCACCAGTCACCATGGGGCGAGGCGAGGCTCCTCCTGGGTGGTGTGGGTAAGCTCTGCCCTTGCCCAGGCCAGGTGGGGGCCAGACCCCGTCCTGCAGCCCAGCCGTCTGCTTCCCTCCTGTGTCTGTCCCCTGGGTCAGCATCTCTGGAGCACGCAGGCTAGTTGTCCTGTGTCATGGCCACTGCTTAGGGATGAGAAGGCCCTTGAGGCCAGAGCCAGGGGTGTCTGCAGAGGTTGGCAGGGTTAGAGTGGCCCCGGCCAGCCTTGTGGCACCGTCCTCACGTCCAGATGGGAAGACCTGACTGCCCTCTGGGGTCTGACCTGTGTCCTGGGACAGATTCGTCACAAGGCCATGCCACTTGCTCTGGAGGGCCAGCTGCCTGACCTACACCTGTTCCTCGACCCCTCTCCACACCTGTCCTGTCCTTCCTGAGGTGGGAGGGAGAAATGTCCCTGGCAGCAGGGTCTGCAGGCAGAGTCCTGAGGGCTGACCTTGGTGGCACCCCCTGGAACCCTGCAGACCCTCATCCGGTTCATTGTGAGGTTGGGTTTGCAGGATGTACGTGTTGCTAAGTTGTTGGGTGTTTTTTTTTTTTAAATGGAAAACAGGATTAATGTAAATAGCCTTCTTGGGGAACAGATGCTAAACAGTCACGTATGTGACCACGTGGACTATTTTAAGGTGCTGATGCTACACTAATAAACCTGGGCAGCACAACCCCAGGCCCTCGCTCGCCTGCTGTGTGATTCCTCTCGGCGGCCACAGCCTCCCTCGCGGACCCTCCATCCGCCCCACCGCGGACTCCGCCGTGTCGGCAGGTGCCGGGGGCTGTGGGGCCGAACGACGGGGTTTGGGGGGCCGCGGGGGCGGGGCCTAGGAGGGCTCCGGCCGAAGAACCCAAAGCTCTGATCTGCGCCTTGGAGACACCCCGGGGTCCCGGGTCTCGGGACGCGGACGGGTGACGCATCTACGAAGCCAGCACCTCCGAGGGGCGCCAAGCCCTGTTCCTGGAGCGATGGGGGCGCCAGGGCGCAGGCGCAACGTGGGCCGGAAGCGGAAACGGCGCGGGGGCGGGGCTATCGACACGGAAATTCGGCCTCGGTCCCGCCCCACCAGGCCTTCGCGTCCCTCTGTGGGCCCCGCCCCTACCCTTTGGCCCGCCCATCGCAGGAGGCCCGCCCCTCCCCGCCTCCGTGCCCCGGCCGTCCCCTCACTGACGGGGGGGACATCCCGAGCGGTGCCCTCCTCACCCTCCCGTGTGTCCCTCCGGCCCCCGCCCCACTCGCCCACCTGGCCAGCGGCCTCCCCCTGCGGTGGAGAGGGGCGGCCTCAAGCCGCCTGGGCCTTGGGGCGTGGTCCGCGGCCGTGGAGGTGAGGTCACAGCGGGGCCGGCGTCCCTTCAGTCTCTGGCTGTCGCTCTGTTCTGCGCCTTGGATGCACAGGCCACCTGGGTCCTGAGAAGGCGCGGTGCTCCAGAGGAGGGTACGTGCCTGGAGTGGAACCAGGATGGGAGGCCCTCTGGGGAGAGGGGCTGTCCCCGTGGGAAGCGGGGTGCTGCAGCTGCTCCAGCCTGGGGGTCCATGGGAAGGCAAGTGGCAGCAGGAGCCGGGGGCCCCAGGTAACCCACTGGAGTCCACTGTTGAGTCTCACTGGCCTGAGGCTCGCCCAGCACTGTCTTGCCAGCGGCGAAAGGGGAGCCTAGCAGGGCCTGACACTGCCTCTGTCTGCTAGAGGGGCTCACAGAACACAGGTGGCCTTGGGGTCCTTCTCCTGGAGCCCAGAGGTGCAGACAAGCAAGCTGCTGGCGGAGGCGGGGAGCATGAAGCATCTGCTTAAGGACCCCCAGAGGGAAAAGCCGGGACCACCGCCGACCCCAGAGCACAGGCCGCCCTCTCCCTCGTCCAGGCCGACTGCAGCCTGGGGCCAGCCCGGTGCCCAGCGCAGTGGTCAGCAGAGACTGCAGACTCAGGACTGGGTAAGCTGAGGAGCCTGGCCTCGGCCACGCCACGGCTCCCCTCCGGGAACCCCAGGAGCTGGCCCTGGAGGCGGGCTGAGCGGGTGTGCATGGATGGGCAGAGTTGAATGGTGCCTGAGGACAAGCAAGTGCTGTGGTCGGGGGCACAGAGTGTCGGCTCTCTTCCCTGAGTGAGCACTAGAGTGGGCGTGCACCCCGCTGGCATCTCATAACTGTGGGCTGTCTGCCTGCCTCTGCCCAGCACCTGGGAGGGGCCCTGCGAGGCCAGGAAGAGGGGCACCCCCACCCGGGGCTGAGATGGCGGCCCCAAGTGCAGGGAGCCCAGTCAGGGGAAGCTGCCTGCCCCCACAGTGGGGACGGGACAGCGTCGGCAGGCAGGCAGCAGAAGCACTTGTCTCCGCAAGTCGTGACCAACACTTTCCTAGAGACTGCTTGTGACAGCCCCAAACGGGAGGCCCTCTATGTCCTCCTAACTGCCCCGATGGGTGAGCAGTTGCTCCGTCCCCATACCCCAAAGCATTATCGACAACAGACTCAGCGGGAAGACTCAGCAGCACAGAGGGCTCTCCCCGCACACTTCCCATTTCAGTGTCATCAAGGATAAAAATGCTAAAACCTCTTTTTCAATACGGCAAAAATGGTCAAATGGAAAAACCAGACTAGTTTCAGCCCTAACAGGCATGACTTCATGTCTCAAAGCTTCAGTTACCAAAGCAAGAAGGTCCTCCCATGTAATTCATGAAACAGCAGAACCAAATCGAAAATCTAGACATTGACCCAAATACCTACAGACACTTAGTGTAGGACAAAAGTGGCATCTGGGGGCGGGGGGACTTTTTGATAAATTACACTGGGCAACTGTATAGCTATTTAGAAGAAAGAAGGTTGAATACCAGGACGAACTCAAAATGTGTTAAAGGTCTGAATGTAAAAACATGGTGCCATAAAAGTACTAGAAGATACCCTGGGTAGATCTCTCCTTAACTGTGGGGTAGGGCTGCCCTTCTAGCTAAGC